TTGGGAATTTACTGCCTAGTCTAAGGCGCGGTCAATAGTGTAGAGAACACTATAAAATCTTTGAACAAAATTTCGCCTTTTCAGATTTAGCGAAATACAATAAGGTTGTCGCTGTTCATAGAAATCCTGCTGAGGTGCTAATAGTTGTTTTGGGTCGACCTCACCTGCATCTTTTTCCATGGCAATGTTCTTGAAGTGCTCCATATCTACCGTTGATATGGAATGAGATATCAACACAAGGCGGAGTGCGATCGAACCATTTTTTACTTTTCGTCAAACAGAAACAAGTTGGATTTCTCGCTTTCCTCAAGTTTACTAGTCTAATCGGCTTTACTTTCAGATTATTCTTCACTACTTCAATGGGTTCAAAATGTAAAGATGATCCAAATATGCCACAGGTTGTTCCTATATTGGTTCCAGACTTCTGTGATTGACTTTGTCATGTTCAGGTTGGCATGATCGTGACGCATAAGGCGGGTAGGTGGAAAGTTATGAAGAACATAGCGTCAGGGCCGTTCTCAGATGTGTTTATAATCGCCGACGCCGAGGACTCAAAAAAGAAGTACGCCATGAAGTGCGAGAAACAGGAGGGAAACGCTCGGTAGTATCATTTAGAAAAATTTTAGCATTTCCATAGATCTCTACTTAGGCCAGTGCTGAAGCTCGATGTGCTAGTGCTCATGTCAGTGAAAGGTGCTGTAGGATTTCCGCTTTTTATAGCTGCAGGAAGAACAAGCACGTATAGGTATGATAGCGTATTCAAATTTTGAACAAACCAATAGTGAAGAGACAGACGAAAAACAAGGGGTTCAGTCATTAACCTCAATTCGAGATTGCAGTACTCATGAAGCGGTCGAATTACCTGCCTTTGTTTTATTTTGACAGAGACGTATCTTACCCGAGAGTAAGAAAGGAAAGAAAGGAGATTGATAATCCAGCAAAGTTAAGAATGAGTTCTTTCGCTTCAAGGTATTGTTCTGCACCATTACAATCCGTCGGAATTAATTGATGAAGCAAACTTGACGCTAAATGCAGAATGTTTCCAGCACCTCTCATCGACAAGCGGTCTGTCATAAATGAGTGAATTGGAGATGCAAGCGCTACGAGAGTGCACAAAAGCTTACGCGAAGTGGATCTCAGCCGCGTAAAAGGGGCTTAGTCCATGCGACATGATAGTGCGGATGGATCGAAAAATGCATTGTTTACGGCCTGAACTTTTTTTTAAAATTTCCACTAAAAACCACTAAAAAA